AAGAAAAAAGAAAAGTTTCTTAACCAGCACAGTATTCTGGGCCAGAAGGCAGAAGCTACTTTCCCTCATCACTTTAGTTTCATTCTTAAATCAACCAGTTCTCGTCGAATTTCGAAGGATAACAATCCTACAATATCCTGGTAAGCTACCTCCGCAGAATTTCTTCTTTAATGCTTTCGTTTCCTTTCCTTCTATTGCTTAATTCACTCACTATTTAGATGCAAAGATGTTGGAATCACTCACTACTTAGATGCAGAAATCTTGGAATTTGATTAAATTGTACATGATATGGACGAATAATGGGTTTTTGATTATTTTTAACTTTAGCTGAGATTAGTGTTGTGATGAATCTTTTTTTGGTTCCTTTGTTTACTTTGAGGACAGCAGGTGGTTGGATTGTTATTCATATAGTTTTAGAAAGAAACAACATCTGCTCAAACCCAAGTTTGTTTTTTGGTGATTCATTTGATTCGGTATGGAAGACCTTCCTGTTGAAGTTATAGGGAACATACTGTCTCACCTAAGGGCTGCACGGGATGTAGTTGTTGCCTCTGCTACTTGCAAGAAATGGAGAGAGGCTTTCCAATTTCACCTTCAGTCTCTTACATTCCATGATGACGATTGGCCCGTTTATGGTGATGATCCCACATCCAATTGGCCGATCTATGGCCATCCCACACCTGATAAATTGAAAATTATCATCACTCAAACAATTCTGCAAACCAAGGGGTTGCAGTGTTTATCAGTCTTCTTGAGTGATATCACCTTCACAACTGACGATGTTCGCCCTTGGCTTGTGCATTCTAGAGATACTTTGCGTGAACTGTATCTGGATGTTTGGATACTTCCCAGTGTCAAGATTCTTGAGAAATGTAATGGGCAGAAGCTGGAAGTGTTGGAGTTGGCTCATATTTATATGTGTAGTGAGTCATGTAACTATCAGAAATTTCCTTTGTTGAAGACACTTCGGCTGGAGGATGTTGATGTCAAACCTTTGGATTTGAGGACTCTTCTCACCTTATGTCCAAAGATTGAGAACTTGACTCTTTTGAGACCGAGGATAGGTCCAGTGGGAACCATGGAGGTGAATACTAATTCATTGAAGACTATTCATCTTGCAGGAATTACTGCTGGCATATTTATACTGGAGGCTGATAGTCTTGAGTACCTAGACCTGCAAATGAGTAAATTTGAGCATTTTCAGTTTGTTGGGAAAGGGGCCTTGAAGGTTCTGAATCTTGATGTTGCTAGGATCAAGTATTTTGAGATCAGGGACAACATGGAAAATCTGGAGATTGTTGATGTTAATGACTCCACAATCGAAATGCCAAAGCTCTATCTCATGATCTCAAGATCATCAAACCTAAGAAGGCTTCGGCTTTGGCATGTTAAGTTTGATAATGTGGATGAGGTCATTGATTTGGAGAGAATTTCTTTCTTCTTCCCCATGTTAACCCATCTATCCTTATATTATGAAGAGGAGGAAAAACTTTTTAGTTTGCAGGTGTCATCTCACTTGCAGAATGTGGTTGTGTTGGAACTTGGTTGTGTTATTTATTATCACCTCACAGATAGGATCGCAGGAATCTTGCGGAGATGTCCCAACTTGAAGAAAATTGTCATTCACGGCAAGATCCTTCAAGATCTTGAGATTTTAGCTCAGTTTTCAGCATCAATCATTCAGTTAGCTAGAAAATATTTGCAGGTAGAATTCCAGTTTAAATATGAATAGTGTTTTTTTTATTATTATTATTATTGTAATCAATATGAACTTGCATATTTTGTTGTCCCGACTACTTAATACAAGAAAGTAATTAAAAATTTTCCAACTCTATACATCTCATCGTTCAATAAAATTTTTAAGAGGCGTCTGGTTCATTCATTTTTTGATTGGTAAAATACTACTAGTTGATAGTTTCTCTCCTTTTCTTGCTGCTTTACAGAGGGCAACTCATATTCCTTCTCATTACTCTCAGTTTCTCTCTGGCTTTCTGAGCTTTGGTTTGAGCTGTCATTCTCCATTCCTCTAAGTACTGCAAAACAAAACAAAAATATGCCCCTTAAATCATCTGTGCTAAGTTTTGCATCTGTTCAAGCATTTAGATGTAATGGTGAGATAATGCAGTAAACTTACCTGTTGCTTTCTTTTCCTCTCAAGCTCAGCCTGTTCATTTGCAGCAAAACAAGTATGAGATCAAGTTCCACCATACAAATCAAAAGCTACACGATGAACCTACCAACTCATAGTAAAACAAAAGACATTAGTGTTACCAGAGCCTGCTTAAGATGAGTGTTCTCTTGTTTCAGCTGGTTCAATTCTGCTTCAAGCTCAACCGTATATGCCTGCAGAAAACCAATACATTCTTCTTAGTATATGCCAATATACATCCAAGACCACTCATTACGATAATTACCTGCCTAATTAACCTGTTTGTCATTTATATGTTCTAATTTCTATGCACGCTCTTGAGTAGGGATTTCTAAGGTTGGATTGGATTTACTTAAAAAATGGATACCTGTTTTCGGGCTCTTGACCTCGCAGCAGACTCTCTGTTTTTAATCATCCTGCGTTGCCTCCTTTCAACAACCTTCTCTACTGGACCATCAACGATCCTCTTCCTGCCTCTAAGTACTCCACACATATCCATTCCAAACTGGGTGGCTGCATTATCAACCTGACTAGGACACATACCATCTGGTGACACTGGACTCACTGGTGGCACCATTGACTGCCCTGCGCCATATGTGCCACCATTCCCTAATCTCCCATTATAATAAATAGGCTGTGGAGGTGGGGATGGTGGCGGCGGCGGTGGATTTGTTTGTGGATAACCCCCTTTTTTAGCGTTATTAGCATACACTGATGGCTCACCAATCATTCCAGCTGGAGGCATTGTCTGGAATTGACCGCCACCACCATTATTTCCACCCATGCCCATAACAGGCTTAGAAACAAAATTAGGAACCACTACCGGATTATTACTAGTCAGATACAACCCAATCTGAGGCTGCTGCTGCTGTTGTGGAGGCTGTGCTAGTGGCATACATTGTTCCCTCACCACACCTGCCTTAATCAAGAAATCCTCTAGAGTCATCTCCCCAAATGTAGGTTGCCTCTGTGCGTTCTCAGGATTCAGCACATTGTTGCTGTTACTTTGTCCTTGTCCTTGTCCTTGCTGCTCCCTGTGTATCTCCGACCAAACTTCATCCACAGTTTTTCTACACAGTGGAGCAGGGAGCGTGAGCGACCCCTGTCTCGGCAAGCTATGCTGTTTAGTTATGCCTTTACCATTGTCAACCTCATTCAAAGACAAATTCCCATGATTCCCAACTTGATTGTTTGCGTTGTTGTTTCCGCTGATGGCTTGACTTTCTTCAGCGTTCCAGATGCTTGTGAGGAATTCGTCCATGTTCATGGAGCCAAAGTTCTTGCCACTTTCGCATAATGCGTGCTGGAATTCGTCGAGGGTGAGAGAGTATATGGAGGATTGTCTTCCAAGCGGCGGGAAGGGATGGTTCCTGTTTTGCTGTTGGTCCACTTGCAATGGTGACTCCACCTCTCCAATTTCAGAGTCTGCTGCCACCATTTTTGTGGGTGATGTTGCTTGAGCCTACAAGAGGGAAGAATGAACTGAGACAAACAAGGAGATTCTTTTTTTTCCTTTCTTGGATGAACACAAATTAAGTCATGTTCATGATTAATCACATCCGAATCAATTTAAAGCCCAATTTTAATCAGCAATTAAAGTTAGTGCTCAGTATGAAATTCCTAAACTAACTTCTTCTTCTTCTTCTTCTTCTTTTTTTTTTTTTTTTCCATAAAGTAATTCTTTTCCAAGCCTATGAGTGGAATTTTCTTTTAACAAAAAAAAAAAAACGAGAAACTCTTTTGAAAGTTTTCATTCAAATTGCTACCGACCAATTCTTATCTTTTCCCCTTCTCCTCGCAAAGGACATATCTTTCCAATTAACAAGATCCATTATGCAAAAACAAAATTCAAATAATTCTTAATATAAGAAGAAAAAACCTTTCTTAATGTAATTAAAGTTTGAGATTTTAAATTGAAAATTTTATGTTTAAATAGTTAAAAATAAAGGGTTATTTTTTATTATATAATTCAAAAATTATATATACCAAAGGAATATATAAAAAAAGTTACTAGTAAGTGGAAATTGATGAGTTATCCAATCAGTTCGGCCAATTACTTAAGTAGATTAATCTCCTTCTATTTTCTAATATAAGGTGGAAAAGGGTCGCCCAATCCAAAATAAGAGAAAAAATAAATAAAAGTTGGGTTTCCTGAAGAAGAAACATTTCATTCGGTGGGTAAACAAAAAAGGTAAGATAAAAGAATCTTTCCTGTTAAGGCGAGAGCTGTGGCAGCCAAACCAAACTACTTTATATTATATACTGCAGTAAACAACATTCTTGGAGTAATTAATACTCAAAACCCATATGCATATAATTTAATTTCACTACAAAATCTTACAACCAAATACAGGATATTAATGGATACATATCACTAAATAAAAAGTCATATATATATATATATATATATAAATTCTACCACATGCATAATGGTAAAATTTTATTGTACAAAACATTATGCAACCATTATGCATTGGCTTATTTTTATATATACAAAATGCTCCACTAATATTATAATTTTCTTGTTATAAAAATAAAAAATTAGGAATTCAAATTATGTAATATACTAATAAAATATGTTAAAAATTAAAAAAATTTACCTCCTATCGTACGATCAATTCCTTAGCTATGGTGCTTTTTCCGAGTGAAACTCAACAAAAAGTAGTACAATAATTAAGCTAGACCTTATTCGGATGTGAACGGTAATTTTTTTTTTTTTTTAAAAAAAGGAGCTGAATAAAAACCATTACAGCAGACATGGAATTAAGCAAGCATACCTGAACCTGATTCAACAGCTATCAAGGCAAATACAAGTGGGTACTGTCTCTTTTGATAATTACTAGTATTTTGGTGGAAATATTAATCTAAACATTAACCACCATTGATGAACTCCTGAACCTTCATTGAATTCCAGGGAGTCCCGGAAGAGGAAGAGGAGGAGGAGGAGGAGGAGGAGGAGGAAGGCGGAGCAGGTGTGGGGGTGTTTAGCGCTGCTACGGCAGTTCTGTGCGGCGTGCGTTCACGAGGAGTGAGGGTGGCTGGAAAAATGCCGAGCGAACAATTTATGACAATCTCGGCGGCATGGGCCCTCGTAAAACAGCAGCCCCCATATAACAAAATCAAGCGCGTTTCCCTATAAAAATTTCGTGTCCCGAAATGGTACGGGGCTCCTACCATTCGACACGTATCGGCACGTGGCTCCTCCCAGGCTTACCCTCTTGTAAGCATG